GAAACCCACTGGTCACAGGGCACCATGACAATTGACTTCCATCAACCACAACCCTCTGGGTCCGACCATGGAGCCAATTCCCCAGCTAGTGGATCGTGGTGGACCCGAGGCCACAGTTGGCCAGTTTTGCCAGGAGGTGATCATGGGATACCAGATCAAAGGCTTTTTTGAAGTCAAGATATATGACATCAATTTCGTCTCCCTTGTCCAAGCGATAGGTCACCTGGTCGTAAAAGGAAATGAGATTGGTCAAGCAAGATCAACCCACAACAAACCCATACTGTGTAACCCTCAGGATATTGCCATCAGCTAGTCTGTTAAGGATGGCCTCCTAGATAATCTTTTTCAAGACCTTGTCCAAGATAAAGGTCAGGCTGATGGGCCTGTAGTTTGCCAGATCCACTTTCCTCCCTTGAAGATAGGCACCACATTGGCCTTCTTCCACTCTTCGGGCACTTCACCAGAGCACCAGGAGATCTCGAAGATCCGTGCCAGGGGCTGGGCTATGATGCTCGCCAGCTCCTTGAGTACCCTGGGGTGTAGATTGTCAGGGCCAGCTGACTTGAAGGTATCCAGCCTCTCAAGGTGTTCCTTCACGAGGTCAGTATTGATGGAGGGCAGGGAATCTCCCTCACCCGGACTTCCCTGTCCCGTAATGGGCATGGGTGTCCTGTGGGACTGATGAAAGACCGACGAAAAGTACCCATTTAATAGGTTGGCTTTTTCTTGGGCATCTGTTGTCAGTTGTCCCATCTGGTTTAGTAGGGGTCCAATATTGCCCTTGCTTTTCCTTCGGCTCCCCACATATCTGAAAAAGGACTTTTTATTGCCCTTGATACTTGTAGCTAGTTGGAGTTCAGTCACAGCCTTGGCTTTCCTGGTTCACTCCCTGCAGGACCAGACCAGTGCGGAATATTCCTCCTTGGAGGTGGATCCCATCCTTTCCCCAGTTGCCAGTACCAGGTCGAGCAGCGCTTTCCCTCTTGTTGGCCCGTAGACCTCTTGTGTCAGATAGAGGTTATCCACACACGAGAGGAAGCTTTGCAACCGCTCAGATTTAGCTGAGCGCTCTTCCCACGAGATATCTGGGTAGTTGAAGTCTCCCATGACAACCATGGACCGGGAGCATGTGGCCTCAGACAATTCCCTGGTGAACTCCTGGTCAAGATCTTGACTTTGGATGGGAGGTCTGTAGCAGATTCCCACCATCATCTACCCTGTACCGTGTTCCCCACAGATTTTAACCCAGAGGGTCTCCAGCCATCCACCCTGGTCACCAATATCGGCTTTCAGGGACGCATAGCTCTCCTTGACATAGAGAGCTAACCTCCCCCCGCCCCCCTACTTTTGCCTACTCAATCTCTCCTGTACAGGGTATAGCCGTCTGTACCCATGGTCCAGTCATGGGTGGAGTCCCACCAGGTCTCCGTTATCCCTATGACATCGTAATTATTTGTGTTAAGCAGGAAGACAAGTTCCTCCTGCTTGTTCCCCAAGCTCCGGGCATTCGTGTACAGGCAGGCAAGTGTCCTGTTGGGGGCCCTTGCCTTGCCCACAGATTGATCCAGGGCTGGGGCAGGGGTGGGCTCCCTTAAGTGCCTAAGCCCACTGGCTTTGCAAGGGTTGCTCAGCGGGCCATCAGTTGCAGTAGTCCCCCCATCCCCCGGCGGCCTTAGTTTAAAGCCCGGTGGAGCAGGTCAGCCAGTCTGGCTGAGAAGAGCCTCCTCCCCAGCGGAGACAGGTGGAGGCCATCCCTTCCCAGCAGCTCACTGCCTCTCTCATCAAAGAGCGAACTGTGGTCATGGAAGCCAAAGCCTTCTCAATGACACCAGCACTGCAGTCTTTGTTCACTACCTGGATCCTCCTCTCCCTCCTCAGCCCATAGCCCGAGACTGGGAGGATCAAAGAAAACACCACCTGTGTCCCCAGACCCTTTAGCCCTGCTCCCAAATCCCTGTAGCGCCTCATGACCCAGCTGGGAGTGCTCCAAGCCATGTCATTGGTGCCCACATGGATAAGGAGCATGGGATAGTGGTCAGTGGGCTGGAGGAGTTTAGGGATCTTCTCCGCAATGTCTCAGATGTGGGCTCCCAGGAAGCAGCAGACTTCCTGGGCTAAGGGGTCAGTGCGGCAAATTGCCCCCTCCGTCCCCCTCAGGATGGAGTCTCCCACGACAAACACTTTGTGTTTGGTCTTGGGGAGAGTGGGGGCGGTAGCTACAGTAAAGCCCATGTTGCCTGCAGGAGCTGACAACTGAGCAGGCTCTGCTGGGGCTGCAAGAGGTTCGTACCTGTTGCTGAGCTCCAGCGGGGCAGGGGCCTTGGTGCAGTGGGCTGTGGGGCCCTTGACCACCTTGGTTCAACCGCTGGGCTGAACAGTAAGGGAGGTCCCCGAGTCCTCCCTTGTCCTGGAGGGAGACCGTGGTCTACCCTCCATCTCCCAGGGGAGAAGGGCCTGGCAGTAGGAGTCTATCTCCTGCTCACAGTCCCTGATGGCACGCAGTCTCTGGACTGCAGCCTGGAGCTCCTCCAGCTGGTGCAGCCCAGGCCCCAGTAGGGAGCAGACCTCACAAGGGGAGGTGGCCATGCTCCTGGGCCCCAGAGCCTGAAAAAGCGACAGGCAGCCTCCGCAGCCGAGAGCCTGGGGCTCCATCCATGTGGAGCCTGGAACCCTGGGCCCCATCTGCGTGGAGGCCTCTGAGGAGCCAGAGGGAGGGGCCACAGACTCCGAGGGGACCCAAGGGGTACGGCACATGCCCATCTGTGGCATGCCACTGGCAGGCTGGCTACGGATGGGACTGCTTCCCTAGGGCGGGGGCGCACAGGCAGTGCCTCGGGCCCTTCCACTCACCCACCTATGCAAACTCTGTGCTAACTTGCATGCCGGGCAGACAAGTGCACCTGTTTGTGTGGCCTGTTCGCGCGGCTCCCTGGGGGGCTGGGTGAAGGAGGGGCTGGGGTGGGGTGAGACCCTCCCCGGTTCCTAATCATCTGCCTCCCTGCGGCTGAGCTGGGCTAGTCCCCTCCCACCATGGCCCCGCTCACCTCTGGCTGCTGGAGGTTGGCGGTGGGGGGGTGGGGCTCCGCAGCAGTTGGGGGTCGCTAGGGGGCTTTGGGGTACAGGGGTGCGACGGGCTTTCACCCGTGTGTTTCACGCCGCTCCCCAAGCCTCTCTGAGGAGAAAAACCTGGATTTTCTCCTTGAAAGGAGAAAAATGTGGGTTAAGTTGGGTTTCCCCTTGCAGGCTGGCAGAGTTCCACTGTGCAAGGCTTGGGGGAGCAGGAAGAGGGCAATCAGGCAGGGGGCACCATGTGCACATATATGCATGCCCATGGCTGCTACACAGCCTGGAGAGCAGCTCCCACAGCTAAGTCTTGGTGGGGAAGGGGGAATTAAGGCTCTCATAGTGAGGGAGGGAGTTGGGCAGGTCTGGAGCTGGTGCACAGTGTGGGCAGTACGTGGGGCTTGGGACCATGTGTGGCTGCAGGGCCCAGGTGGAGACCAGGATGGAGCTGTGGGCAGTATGTCTGGGGGGCAGGAGGAGCGGCTCCCTGCCATGGCATTCACTCCCAGGGGAGGTATGGGGGGCATGTGCCCCCCCCAGATCTGTGCACAGGGCAGGGGTGGGCTTCCCACCCTGTTGCCCTCCCCCAGGGCCTCCATGACCCAGTGGTGGGACTCAGCGTGCCAGGGCATAGCAGGCCTGGGTGGGGAAGTCCAGTGCCATTGCCTCAAGTCCCATGCTGCCATGGAGAGGTGTCACCTGTCTGCTTGGCAGCAGCAGGGGCCACAACCCCACACCACCACCCCTGCCGGGTGGCCAGGCAACACCTTGCCACGGCAGCGTGGGGCTCACAGTGGCGGCCATGAGCTTCCCTGCCCCACTCTGCCCTGCTGTGCCTGGTCCTGCCCACTAGGCTGTGGAGGCCCTGTGGGGAGGGCAGGGAGCCCAAACCTGCCCCCTCCCCCCTTGACGGGCTCCACTTTGGCTGTGCTGCCCGTGGGAAAGGGAGAGCCAGGCTCCTTCTGTGGGTGGCTTTTGGGGTTTGGGTACTGCTAAGGGGGGCTGTGGAAGTGGGTCACTGGCCCTGTAGTCCTGGCAGCTGGAGGCACGGGGGGGCTGTGGGAGGGGAGTGAGGGGCACCAGTAGGGCCAGGGGGCTATGGCTTGGGAGTGAGAGGCAATGGCAGGGGCAGGACACTGACACATCAGAGCTGTTCAGCGCCACAAAGCAGCGGGGGGGCGGACATGGGACAGTCACAGCTGGACCAGTGTCCTCGTGAGTGAAGGGGGCAGGGAGAGCTGATTTTCCATGATAAAAAAAACCCAAATCAAACGCCAAAATCTATAGATATTTAGAATTTATTTTACTATAGTGTATGAAGCACTGGTAGGCTTCCAAATTGCTTTAAAATAGTAAAAATATCAATAAAACGTGTTCAACTGATACATACCTACATACATACATACATATATAGCGGCATTTCATTTTAATCATGGATTTTGGGGTTTTAATCAGAGAGTTTGCGGGGTTTTATCAGAGAATTTGCAATTTTTAAACAGAGAAAGCCAGGATGCCTGATCATCAGGGACTCAAAACATGAATGTTCATTTGTAAAATTGTAATAGCCAGTGATAGCAGAACCTCTTGGGTTCAGGGAAGTATCCCTATGGCCAGAGGCTTAGCCAAACCTCAGGAGTCTTTCTGTGACACCCCATAACTCATGCTTCCCACACACGTGACATCCTAAAGCCAGGTTTCCTCTAATAAAAATTGCTTTAAGGGGAAAAACAGCTTTCTTACTGATGCAGGGGCATCATTTGCTCTCCCCTCAACAGATTCACTTTTGTCACATATTTCTAGTTGACTGTCCTGTTCACCCAAACATAACTGCTGCTAAAATTCTGCTTTGCTCTCTTGTCACCAGTCTCTTTAACAGTAGAAGCAGGGAGAAAAAGGCAGAAGGTTGAAGCCACCAGACAGTCCTTGCCTACTGGCAGGAGAGCAAAATTACAGGAAACTATAGTTAGGATGGTGACTACAAAACCATCAACAGGTAGGGACCATTGCCCACTATAGGATCATTTCTTTAAATGATCTTTTAAAACTTTTAACTTACCAAAAAAATAGGAAACAAAGGTACACAGTTAAAATGATTTTTTATGCGGGGAATTTAAACCTAGTTAAGAAAAACATTCTTAAAACACAAAAAATGTAAATTAAGATAGAAGTACAATATAATTGACTTTAGAAGCAGTATCTTAAAATAATCCCAAAACAGAGACAATGCCAGTTCCATACCCAAGTTTTCATACTCTGAAGTGCATTAGAAGAATTCCTATATATCCAGTTCATTAAAAACAAAGCAGAATCAATCAAACTTAACCCCCTCCCAACCTTGCTACTAGTTGTGTGTTGCTTTATCCAGGAAAAATCTTTAGTAGATATAATACCTCTAGAAAATAATCTAGTCCCCATACTTTTTGTCTTTCTGAAAAGACATCTTGCGTCTGAAGACATTTAATTTCACAGAATTTGCCTGAAAAAGAAGTAAGAACAACACATTAAAATCACAGCTAAAGATGATGACTGTTTTGCTTTGAATCTAGGATTTTATACTATAAAAAAAATCTTGCTCAATTTACTCATATTTGTAGATTCATCAATTGCAATGAATAATAAATAAGGTGAGCAGGTTTTAGTGCTCTCACTCTCAGAATTGGATACCACTGTTAATACAAGGTAACTCACTGCACCTGGGCACTGAAGGTTCAAGTACATTCTCATGAAGTACAAGAACTTACTGCAATAACAATGCATAACTTCATCTAGGGTGAAGTTTCAACATTAGCACTGACTTTCATCTATCGATAGTCGGGTTTGATCTTTGATTCTCCTAGCATGGCATTTTATTACTTTTGTATTCCCTATAAATTAACATTTTAGTGTCAAAACTATAACAGAAACTAGAGCTATTGAGAAAGGTTTCTACATTAAGGTTTCTAAGGTAGAATGAATAGATAGAAGAGCCTGGGGAACATTAAAATGTTGGAACAGAAAAGACATGAAAAAGTCACTATAAAACTAAGAAAGAAGAGTTGCAAGAACACCAAGATCTAGTCTGAATTCCTGCAGACTCAGCATGAAAAATAACCACGGCCCCCAAAAAGACAGTATCAGTCTTACTGGTAAAACAGGTTCAGATTTCCATCATAATGCATATTTAAACAATCAGCCTTTGCACAGTCTAGGAAAGTAAAGCTTTGTTTCCTGGCATCAATATCCTTGCAGTAAAATGATATTTATTTTCCAACTGTATGTGCCTCCACATTTTGTACAAGGATGAAACGTCCTATTAAGATTCCTTATCAGAGTGAGAGTCAGTGTAACAAGAAAACAAGTTTGTCTGCTACAGGTTTTATAAAACAACATAAATACAGCTGGGTTAACTCACCAAACAAACTTTCAATTTCATGTTCAGGAACATAAAATGGTGGTCCTGGAAAGCAAATAGATAAAGCTAAACCTTTGGAAGCCAAAATGACCATTCCGATATTATAATTAAAACCAAAGGCTGGCCAAACACTGGGAAATTTTAAGCACATTTTCAAAAAATTATCATGGTGAATATTCAAAGGACTTATTCTTCCAATAAAAAGTCAGAGGCTACAAACAGATGTCACAGTTGTCTCAGGAGAAACCATTTTCTCCTGGGACAAAGTGTGATTTCTCAGACATGCATGTCCATTACCCTGGGACAAACCCTAGAAAAGTTCCCTGGGATAAGAAGTGCTACCAGTTTGTGTGGGGCCATCACAAAGTGTGTCTGAACAGTTATCCTGGGATTTGCAAAATTGAATCAATGGCAGAAAGTGGCAGTGCATTCAGTCACTCACTAAACCCTGATTGGAAGGGCAGTGTGTGTACATATCAATCCCAGGACCATTTTTATTCTGAGACAAACAAAGTTACAACTTATCCCAGAACAAATGCAATGTCTGTTCCTAACCAGAGTAGATCAAACAGCAGTAGGAATGTCTTTTCATCTGACAAGTTAAAAATTATCAAGAAAAACCGAAGAAGCTTCTTCATTTAATAGAAATCATTATGCCAACAGATATAATGATACTTAATGTTTACAGAGAGTTTTTCATTTTTAATGCATGTTAATACATCAGGGATGCTCAACCCCTGGCTCACAGGACTCCTCAAGGCTTCAGCAATTTCGCAGAGGGGGAACAGTGGCAGCATTAACTGCCACTCCCCCGCTGCCAAATTTCTGGACTTGTGGTGAGCCCCAATGGGCTGGATAATGTGGCCTTGCACATCAGACTGCACCAGCATGTGGCTGGATCCAGGAACAGGAGGTTGAGTCATTGTGCTGAATTACACCCATGGATCAACCCCATGCAAGATCTAGCCTGTGGGCTGAACCTGAGCCACTCATCCAGCCTGTGGGACCGGAACGATGGACACCACTGTTATAAATGAATGCTCAGACTGGACTTGAGTTACTGTGGTAGTGAAAAGCATGACTTTGTTTTGATGGAAAAAAATACGATTTTTCAGATCATGAGTATATAAGTGATGAAGCAGCACTGAAGTTGGGGAAGCGTGCCAAGGAAGTGAATTCTGTCTGAGCTATGTATGAGCAGCTGACCTATAAGGATCGCACTACAAACTCCTTACCAGATGGAACCATGTAACTAATGAAAAATGGTTATATGCTTGGGGAAAAACATATTCTTTGCCACTATTTTCACAGCTCAATTCTTCAACAGGTAACTAAAGAATGGCAATGATCTTACTGCTGTTACCATGCACATTTAAATATATGGGCCAACTCCCACCTCTTGTCTTTATCAATTTTTATTTTTTAGGTTTCTGCCAGATTCAAGCAGTGAGAGGTATTCTTCATTTTAGAGCTCCATTCTTCATTTTAGATCTGAGCCAGACTCTGTGTGGTGCCACTCATGGCTGGCCATGGACACGTGATGTGATACCAGCCTTTTCAGCTGCTTGTTGCAGAGCCCTTCAGTCCTAAAGTTTGTGATACAGTCAGTTAGATTTAAAATTAATCATGGCCCAACTCCTGGTTGATAATGGCCTCAAACATACTCTTTAATTCCCTGCCAAGTCTTTGATCCAGAGATTACCCATTGCTCTAACACCAGCAAAGACATTTTCAATGTGCCCTGGGTCACTGAAACCCAGAACATACTTCTGTGCAAGACCTAGCCACTCTTGAGAAATAGGACAGCACATACACAATCACAGGAGCAATCCTTGTAATCCTGACCTCTAGAAAGAACAGATGTGAAAGATGATTGACTGAATCCCTTATGTGCTTGATTAACTTTTTTCTATCTTTTGTTTCTTTTGCCTCTATTTGCATTTTTTTTTAATTAGAGAAAAAACATCTTCTTTAGTGGTAACTTCTGTTTTGCAATGGTCCACCTAGGAGCTAACTTTCTCATAGCCATTATGGTAAATGCTCTGCTCTGCTGCTTCTAAATTCCAGCCAAGTTTTCTAAAAGCCTCAATTCTCAAACAAACAAACCAACCAACCAACCAACCAACCAACCAAAATAAGCCAAAACCTTACTCTCATCTAAATGCATTTAGAAATTCTGGGGCAGAATTATGAGGAAAAAAGTTTCAGCAAGCCTAGAACCATGTGATAGTTTAAAAAAAAAAAAAACTTAACTCTCTCCAGCATTGAAATGCTTTTCAAAAGCATCAGTTCCCATCTCCATCTCTCTACATATCTTTATGAATAATATGAAGTTTACTCTGCTTCTTGCCTAAAGTCATCTAAATGTTGGGGCGTCCCTTCAGCTTTACTGAAACCTTAGATACAAAACATTACGTTTATTATTTTGGGCTTCAACCCCAACTTCTGTGAAGTCACAGGCTTTCCATCTAAAAAGGTAAGCTGCAAACTACTAACAAATAAAAATGGTTTGGCCCTTAATCTTTCTTTATTATTTAAAAAGACCACATTATATTCTTAGGACTCTATTATATTTAAAAACTTTATTAACATAATGTCAATGTGATTTTGCTGACACACTTGGGCCAGTAAATACCCTACTGTGGAGAGTTATACCAGCATAGTTTAATTTGGTTCCTGGATTAGATAAAAGCTAGAAGAGTAAAAATACTTTAATGCCAGTACTGTACAACTAAATCCATTTTTGCTAACCCCAACTTTAACTACATTTGTAGGGTTAGTACACTAATAGTATCACAGTATTAAATCAGCTACACATATAGAATTGAAGCAACAGAATGTAAGTACAAGTGAGCCTTTCCCCATAGTATCTCTTTTGTCCTCTTTTTTGGATTTACCTAACTGCAGCTTTCATGTGATATCAGTTTATGTCTCTGAAGTTTTTTAAGAAATGACTTCAGCAAAGATAGAGAAGACCAAGTATACCTGATATAAGAACAATTTTAAAAACATATTAAATTGGCACTTTATATATCAGAGAGCAGTAACAAATATTAAATCTTTTTTGTACTTTTGTTTCTTAAACTTTCTTAATTTAAACTGTCTTTAAAAACAAGAACATCAAAAAGGAAAACATACTAATGTTGAGCACAAAGGTTGTTGACAGGAATAACAACTTAGATAAAACCGTTACCATATAATATATTTGAGATACAAATGTGTAAAAGTTTAAGTACATTAAAACATTTAAAGTGACTTTGAAACACTTTGAAACAAAAAGTTAAAAGTTCCTACCTTTATATTTATTTGGATCATATGAAACAGTAGCCAGCAGATAGGAACAATTTTTATCCATTAGAGACAACATCAAATTGGCATAGCTGAAAAACAAATATTGCATTGTTTATTTTGCAAATATATTGTATATAAAAACAAAATACTTAAAATACTCAGAAAAAGCCAGTATATTATGCATACCAAGTCAGAAAAAGTTAAACTGAACATAATTTAATGCAACTGAGGTACTGCTTCCTAGCAGTAAAATTTCATATAGTATACATGAAAGGTAAAAAATACTACATAACACAAACAAAATGCTATACAAACACACATATACTGGTTCTGGTATAAGCTAACAAGCAAGAAAATGAAGCATTTAGTGTTTGTCTGCCACAATGTACAGTTACTACAGTAGCCTGCATGACAATACTTAAAAATGCTGTGAATTCAGGGCAATGAAGGTGAAAAATAAAGGGCAAGAAAGGAAAAACAGAGGTGTGGGGCAAAGGAGGGTAAAACGAGGATGAAGACAAAGACGAAAATAAAAGCATGGAAAGCAAAAAGGAAGAATCAAATTCAGATCTGTTGCCAGCTTTGTGCAAATCAGCCATTAGAGGGGACTTTCAGCTCTGCCACTGCTGATGTATAATGGAGTAAGCAACTTTTTGTGCTTAGGCCAACATTACTGTTTGCCCTGGCAAGGCACCTTCCTGACAGAAGCTCAAAATTCTAGAAAGCATTGTTCAGTGACCCTAGTGGCCACATGGCAGAAAAGTACTGGCTTAGGTTACTTAGGGTTTATGCTAAATCAAAAGATGGCATATAATCACATTTCCTTCTTTGGAAAGAAAAACAGTTATTAAACGTGTTACTTACCGTTCTCTGTCACATGGGTTAACGGCCACTAGTGCTCCTCTGTCCCAAATCCCATCAAACTTGCCTGCAATTTTACTACAGATAGAGGGGGAAAAAGGTTCCGAGTTAAAAACTAGACTTGTCTTATTTTTTAAACTATGCCCGAGCTACTCTCATAAAAGAAGAGAACAATCTCCAACTGAATGTACATATACATAAAGTGCTGTTTTCTGTTATGGTCTGCCCCCTTTATACTACATAATGTTAGGAATAAGCCTCAAGAAGCATCCATAGAGTAGAGACTTTCTTTGGGAGGCACAGAAAATCTGTTATCCCGTAGAAATGGGTTTGTGCTAGGGCAAGTGGGAACCTAATATGAGCAATGCTGCTTCAGTTAATCGTAATTTGAGTAAGCCTTGGGATAATACTAACCTTAAGCTAAAGACAGCAACAGTTTTTGATCACCACTAGAATCCACAGTGGTTGTGAAGGTGGCTCGGAACAGGTTCCCAGCACCTTCATATGTACTGAGCTCAGGTAATCTGACATTCAAAAGCAGGACCCAAGAATGTTTAGCTTTAGGATGACATTCCATTCATTCAAAAGAGCTGGGACCTGCAAGTGTTCATTGCAATCCAACAAATTATTTTACACCATTTTTTTTCTGTGTGGCATGTTGAAATTATGCAGTAGCTTTCTGCCTAATGCATTTTACGTTGGAGTCCATGGCTTCACTTTTTCTTTCTTGTTACTCCTTTAATTGCAACATCATTATCAAGCCTTTTGCTTTTGACTTGCAAGCTGGTCAAATATTTCCCCATATGATGCAATGAGACATGATAATTTAAAAACTGTTTTTTTTTTTTGCAAGCAGTCAAGATTACACCTACATCTGCACTATGCATACACTTAGAATCATAATTTAAATATAAAGTCTCACAATCAAGACATGACATTCAAAAGCACATTTTACATTTCAATTTGCATCTAGGAGACAAGTTGTTAGATTTGGATTCATGAGATATCGATCCCAACTCTACCACTGGCCTGCTGCAAAGTCTTGGGAAAGCCCCTTCATTTCTCTGTGCTTCTGCTACCCTTCTAGTTTCATATCTGCCTTATATAACTAGATAGCAAGGGCCTGATACAGAAACGCTTGCAGGTATTTAATTCCCCATTGAGATCAATGGGAAGCTAGATAACTAAATAGCTTTGGACACTTAGGCCTAAACTCTTGGGGAAAATCAGGAGCAGATTGGGGGTGGAGGGTGGGAGTGAGGGTGCAATCACTCCCCCCTCCCCCTGCATTGCCAAGGCCTCTGGCCTTAGCTGACAAATGCATGTGCTATAAGCTGCACATACACCGCACATGTAGGCTAGGGATAGAAACTGCACATAAACTGGTAGAAGTGATCGGAAGCTAGTTAAAATCTGTAACATAACAGAAGTTTGGTGCACATAAACCACTTTCAAAGTGGCCAAAAGCAGTTTAAGATAAATCTGGATGGATGTAATATCAGACTGAACTGAATTAGGTTAAATCAGTTTACTGAACTTCTGTCCCAGATCTCCTTCAGATTCAAGTTAATTCACAGTCCCCCCCAGAATACCAGGATGTTTTGCACCTCCCCTGCAAACCCCTCTTTGTAGGGTGGGTGAGCTAGCCTTAGCCCAAGCTGTCTGCTCCAGCTAGCAGGGAGGCATGCTCTAGCATTGTCCCCCAGGCTTCTGGCCTGGGCCACTGCAGGCATGTGGCTGCATTTTTTAAATCAAAAAGTGAACGTCCAGTTGCTTATCAATTCAATCTCCACAGCTTAGGCTAACCTGCAAAGACTGAATCAATCCAGCCCTGGACTTTTTGACTGTCTGTGCTTAGCTGTGCAGTGACATTGCTGTCTTCACCACACTCCCCTTTGCAGCATTCTGGATCTGCTCCTGGGCGGAGTCCCTCCCTCACTATATGTCCACAGTGCCGAGAACAATGAGGTGTGATATTAGTTGGGAAATCTTGGTGCTACTGTAATATAAATAACATTAATAATAGTTTATGTACATTCTTTAGGCCCAACCCTGAAGTTCACAGTCAACCAAAAATCCCACCGATTTTAGGAAATGTGACTGAATGAGGGCTCAGAACTATGAGTATGCTTAGCAGTTGCACAGTTAACAAAAACTTTACACTGTAACAGCCACAATCATGTTATGGACCACAACCAGATGGTTTAAGCACATTACACAATGCAAAACATAACTGTAGAGAGTAATAATTTCCATTATATGTTAATCAGCAAAGAAGTATTTGAAACTTCTTAGTCTGATGAAGCCATGAACTCAAAGTTTCCCTATCCAAAGCCTGCTCAGCACTGAAAACAAAAGTCAGTAATCACAAGTCAGCTAAGGCAAAGGTGAAGTTTGGTGTTTATAGTCGCTGCATATTAACTATATTTTTTCTGGACAGAAGCCACATCAGTAGTGATGTATTTTGTATTTCAGAAGTCTTCCAATGTTTATACCAACAGAAAGATATTTACACTTACACTGCTTTCTGGAATTGAATGTTCTACAAAACATGCATAACCTTTTATTTTGAATTCTGTAGGTTGCAGACTTGACCTCCTTAGTACTGTTTAATAATTTCCAAGGACAGCCTTGTTAATGAGCTACCTATTTTTTTATTTTAATTCAAAATGTTGTTCTGTACCACCAGAGCTGAAATGTTAGATTTTACCAAGTTACGTGCAACTGTACTTAGAAAATTCAATATTTTAAAAATTTCTGACAAGAAGAAAAAAATGTTTCCTGGGCAGTATGTCAAATGCTAGTTAGAATGATTTTTAAAGTGTGCAGCAGCAGGTGGATGCTATTGAACTGTTCTCCTACCTTTAATATAATTAACTTTGATACAATGCATTTGGATATAAAAAAATCCTGAGGCACAAAAAGATTTAATGACATCTGGTCTATTCTCCAAGATGCTGAGTACCTTCAACACTCTATGAAGGCAGATTCTTCATTCATGTTGAGCAGAGGCAAGGAAGCAGACTTTAAATTTCCTTCATGTACCCCCCCGCCAATCCTCAGATGGTTCAGCACTGGGCTGGCTTCCCATGACAGATTTAGAAGACTCCTCTAAAAATGGCTGCCAACTCCATTTGAATTATTTGGGCAATTACAGCAAATCACCCGAATAGACAGATGGCTGTCCCAGGCACATTCTTTTATGCTGGGAGCTAAAGAATGATCTAAGAATTGGGATGGTCCCAGCCAAAGAATTGGAACAGTATCACATTTCCTGGTGTAAAAAGAAATCTTCCACCAATTGTAATTAGCAGCTTTGAGCCAGGGCAAAGCCACTGACTGGCTCTGGCAGTTGACAGGATGTTGCATTTGTCTGGATTGAGCCCACTGTCAACAGCAGGTATTTACAGACGTATTCCAAGAGAAACTGAATATTTGAGTTTCCCACACAGGTCAAAGGGAGTTGCAGATGGCCTGTGCCTTCTGGGATTTGGTCCTTGCTTCTCACATCAGGGTGAATAAAAATCAGTAAGTTTAAAAAAAAAAAAAAACTAAAAAAATTTGATTTTTTAAAAATTTAAATTGGATTTTTTTTACTTAATTTTTTATTTTTTGTTAAGATGCTTAAAAAACTTTATATAAAGATCATTTTAATTTAAGATCTGTTAAAACTCAAAGATATCATCATGGAATAGGAATTATAACTTCTAATTATATACTATTTGAGACAATATATTCATGTAATCTTTTTAGAAGTTGTATAAATAGGTCACAACAGGTCATAGACTCTGTTCAGTGCTCAGTCTAGAAGATCCCATTAAGCATCTCTGTGATGCTTGTTTTCAGTTCTCAAACTATGGATTTGTGTCTCCAGAGATCAAAGGCAAACAAGGTTCTTTGGGTAAATGTGATATCTTTTATTAGTGCAACTAAATAGTTGGAAAAATTGTTCTTTGCAATCTTTTGGACACAAACACCCTTTTTCAGGCACAGGGAGAGTTGGTCTCCAGAGATTTCATAGACATTAGGGCTGGAAGGGACCTCAGAAGATCATCGAGACCAGCCCCCTGCCCCAGGGGCAGGAAGTAAGCGGGGGTCATAGGATTGCAGCAAGATAAACATTCAAATGTCTCTTGAAGGCGTTCAAAGTAGGTGCTTGAACCACCTCTGGCGACAGTCTATTCCAAACCTTGGGGGCTTGGACAGTAAAGAAGTTCTTCCTTATGCCCAGCCTGAAACAGTCATGGAGGAGTTTGTGACCGTTCAATCTTGTCATCCTTTGGGGTGCTTTGGTGAACAGATGTTCCCCCAGATCCTGGTGAGCATGCCTGATAAACCTATAGGTAGCCATCAGATCACCCCTGAGCCTCCGCTTTTCCAGGCTGAAGAGTACCATAGCTCTCAGCCTCTCATCATAAGGTCTGTTATCCTGACCTCTGATCACGCGCATGGCTCTCCTCTGGACTCTCTCAAGCGTCTCCAATTCCTTTTGAGCCTATAAGCATGCTGCAGGTTTTTCCTCCCAAGGTGGAGAACCTTGCATTTTTCAGCGTTAAACACCATCAGGTTCTTGTTCGCTCATTTCCTGAGCCTATCAAGGTCAGCCTGGATCTCAGGTGTCCTCAGGTGTGGATGCTATACCCCAGTTCCCCAGCCAGTGGATCATGGTGAGGCCAAGGCCGCAATTAGCCAGTTTTGCTAGGGGTGATCATGGGATACCAGATCGAAGGCTTTTTTAAAGACAAGATATATGACATCAATCTCTTCTCCCTTGTCCAGGTGATAGGTCACCTGGTCATCAAAGGAAATGAGATTGGTCAAGCAAGACCTACCCATGACAAAGCCGTGCTGGCTATCCCTCAGGATGTTGCTGTCAGCCAGTCTGTTAATAACGGTGTCTTTGATAATCTTTTCTAAGACCTTACCCCGAGAAAGAGGTCAGGCTGATGGGCCTGCAGTTTGCCAGATCCACTTTCCTCCCTTTCTTGAAGATGGGCACCACATTGGCCTTCTTCCAGTCTTCGGGCACTTCACCAGAGTACCAGGAGTTCTGAAAGATCCATGCCAGGGGCTGAGCTATGATGCTTGCCAGCTCCTTGAGTACCCTGGGGTGTAAATTGTCAGGGCTGGCTGACTTGAAGGTACCCAGCCTCTCAAGGTGTTCCTTCACGAGGTCAGCATTGATGGAGGGTAAGGAATCTCCCTCACCCAGGCCTTCCCATCCCGTAGTGGGCAGGGGCATCCCATGGGACTGGTGAACAACCGACGCAAAGTATCCATTTAGCAAGTTTGCTTTTTCCTGGGCGTCAGTTGTCAGTTGTCCCATCTGGTTTAGCAGGGGTCCAATGTTGCCCTTGCTTTTCCTCCAGCTCCCCACATATCTAAAAGAGGACTTTTTATTGTCCTTGATACTTGTAGCTAGTTGGAGTTCAGTCGCAGCCTTGGCTTTCCTGGTTCGCTCCCTGCAGGTCCGGACCTGTGCAGAGTATTCCTCCTTGGAGGCGAATCCAGTCCTCCATCCTTTGTAGGTCTTTCTTTTTAGACACAGGTGGTCTCCTAGTTCCCTGCAGAGCCAAGAGGGCTGCTGTGCCCTTTTGCTGCCTTTCCTCCGAGATGGGATAGACTTTGCTTGTGCATCCAGGATCACTCCCTTGAGGACTTCTGTATTGCTGACTGACTTGCTAGCTTTACAGCTTATGGTGAAGGCAATCAGCTCGTGGTCACTGTCACCCAGCTTTCCTTCGATCGTTAGGTCACTGATTAGGTCATCCCCTGTTGCCAGTACCAGGTTGAGCAGCGCTTTACCTCTTGTCAGCCCGTAGACTTCTTGCGTCAGATAGAGCTCATCCACGCACGAGAGAAAGCTTTGCGACTGTTCAGGTTTGGCTGAGTGCTCTTCCCACGAGAGGTCTGGGTAGTTGAAGTCTCCTGTGACAATCATGCATCGGAAGCATGTGGCCTCAGCCAATTCCCTGGCAAACTCCTGGTCAAGCTCTTGATCCTGGGTAGGAGGTCTGTAGTAGACTCCCACCATTGTGTCCCCTGTGCCGTGTTCCCCACGGATTTTAACCCAGAGGGTTTCCAGTCGTCCACCCTAGGCGCTGATGAAGATAACATCCTTGTTAACAGCAGTATACAAATATGAGAGATAAGAGACCTGATTACCCAGCCATCAGCCCTATTTTCTCTCTACAGGTTTGCGTGCACACAGTCAAGCCCTCACCTTTCTGTAAAAGTGCTAAGTTTCAGGAAATTACATGAATAAAGGATATCAAACAAGATCAAAAACAATGATCAAATCAAGGCTTCCTGGCCAGTGATTTAAACTGTGATTGAAATCATGATTTAAACTGATTTGATTTAAATCAAATCCAACACCTCATATTTATGGCTGGTTCGGAAAAGCAATAATTTAAATGTTTAATACATATTTGATGAAGGACAAATGCAAACACACTCCTCATTCCTACCTGGACAGATCATAGATACTGCAGCAGTACAGAGAAATATTCCCAGAGGTACTCTGCAATGAAAAGAAAGGAAACAGCTTTCAGGGAACTGTGTTTTGAAACAGTACTTACACAGAGGGGGAGAAATTGTGAGGAACCTTCTTTTTAACATTTTCCTACACTGATGTGTCTCAAGGCCCTCAAAATGCTAAACTACTACTTCACCACTGTCATGTAGTATAAGCTTAAAGGTTCCCAATTGAAAGTACAGCTGCAAGCGTCTAAGTTTAAGTATGTGTGCAATCCCACCGACTTCAAACCAGCTTAAAATTAGGTCACTAATATCTTGATGAAAATGCAATCAAACTAAGTAACAGCTTGAGATGACAATTACCTAGCACAGAATTAAGACTTGATGCTTCCCCTTCAGACATTGCTAGAATAGGTGAAAGATGCAATAAAAGAGAGGCAAAAAATAAAAAAAAAAATGCAGAGGATGACTTGGCCATCACAGTTATTCTTGAACTACATAATTAGGCATACAAAAGGATAACAATACAAAACCAGTGCATAAAACAAACCTTAAATACTTTGGCTTTAGAAATCTCCGGGATTGATTCCTCAGAATAAGAAAGATTTTGTTCTGTAAAGAAATCCTTCAGTGCCTGCTCGCTGAATTCCACACCAATTACGTTGTGTCCCATGTCAGCTAACCTACACAGAACAACAAACATTTTCATATTTACTTATGAGTTACTGGTTTTTATTACATAATTCGATTTATATTCTCTCTCTCAAGTTTTGGCAACAGAAAATATACATCTCCTGTAGAACATTACAGCAGCTTGTTTGTTTTTTTTAATTGCACCTTGTAAAACAAATGGATTTGATCAGACTAACATTTGTTGTCCTTTGGTGGGAAAAAATATTTCTGATGAAAATTGCACTCTACAGCATTATGAAAACTCATCATCACAATTAATGTAGAGAAGAAATGAGAGAATTAGAGAACCACCACAGCTGTTTACAATTGTTTGTCCAGCCTGTGGTGGGTCCCTCAGCCCCAATGGGCCAAGGCACCATCTAGCCCAGGATATGTCCTGCCACCCTAGGCACGCAGTGGGGCTGGGACAGCTGGACTGCATTTTTAGGCAGCCCAGGCAGTGGCAGTGATGGCAATAAAGAGGAACTGCAGCATAGCCCAGGCATGGGCTCTGGGCAGCTGCATCATGAAGGGCCCAGCAGCAGCAAGTGGAAGGCAGCTGCTTTTCCCTCCAGGCCCAGCAGCACCTTCTGCCCAGCCACTGCTGCTACTGCTACTGCTCAGCGTGGATGGGTAGGTCCGAAGCAGGTACAGGGCCGGCTGGGGTCAGGGCTGGGACTGGGACTGTACGCTCAGCTGCTGCTGGGTGCTGGTAGGGAAGAACTGCAGAGCACACGGGCTCTGGGCTATTGTGGGGGGTGGAGGGGTGCTGACAGCTCCCCAGAACTGCCTATATGGCCTGCAGGTCCAAATAATTGTCCGCCCCCAATATAACCTAATATGAGTTTGTATGATTAAATGAGTAGATCTTGAAGAAAATGAATCAACTTCATACAATTTTTCAAAGCTGTATATGCAGTTGATCAGCTATTCACTCTTACTTCAATAATGAAAAATAAGGGAACACGCCAATGGCCAATAATAGTATCACACTGTGAGTTCCATGGAAGATACCAAAGAACTCAGGAGCCTAGTAGATAAAGCAGGGGTGTTCAACCTTTTTGAATCACGAACTTTTTATCACCCAGTGGGCTGGCGACCCAAATTGAACAGCCTCACTCTGGCGGGGGGGGTCCCCTACCAGCACCCACTGCACAGGCCCCTGGGTGGGACTTTTGGGGGTCTCTGGGATGACCCCCTAGCCCAGAGTGTCAGCTCTCCCTGCAGTGCTGGGGCTGGGGTGGGGGGTCTGTGCAGGTGATTTCCTGCTGCCCTTGGGGTTTTCCCCGCTCCCCTGAGCCTGCCTGGGACCCTGCTGCAGCTATGTGGGGTCTCGTGGGGGTTTCCTTTCCCCACAGTGCAAGGCTTCCCTTGCAGGCTCCACAGAGCAGAGCTGGCATCACTGCCTGTAATGCAGTTGTGGGGTGGGGAGATTGGTTCCCTGGTTTCTGCATTTGCATCCTCTTTTCCCATCGTGGTGGTATGTTTTGAATAAATAAAAAAAAATAAAACCTATACAGACAAGGATGCTTATTTTTATTTTCACAGACTCAATATTTCACGGACGTAACATAGACATTGGATTTATGACACATTACAACCTGCCTGACATCTGATTCATCACCAGGCACCTGCCTGACCCCACCTCTTACATTCTTCTTTTTCCCCAACCTTTCCTCCCCTCTCACCTATTTGTTCTGCCTTTTATCTTCCTGATTTCCTCCTTTTCCTTTTTGTTTGAGAACCTCTCTCACCTTGTACTATTATCACTGTCCTGTTTCCCTTAGGCCTTTTTCCCCCTGCTTTCCTCCCCCTCTCTTCCCCGTTTTACTTTGGTTTTTTCTAATTTCAACCTATTTTCTTTTCCATGACGTCACTCTTTCTGTGTCCCTCTTTGCTCTTTTCCTGTCTCCTATTAATTTTTCACTGACGGCTTCTTTCCCACCTTGCAGTCCATCACTGCTGTCTCTCCTCGGGGCAGCGGTGGCAGGACCCGGCTCACTGATGAGCCCAGCCCCGCACGGGTAAACAGCTCCCCTCCCCTCACTGCCAGCTGGGACCCATGGGCCGGCCCTGCCCACCTCGCCTCCCCGCTGCCCCGGCTCCACGGCGGCAGCAGTGCGGCCTTGGGCCAGGTAAAATGGCTTGGCAGGCCACATGGTGGCCCACAGGCCATATGTTGGACAAGCCTGAGATAGGATAAGAAATCTGAAACAAAATGCTCTAAGGCCCCCACTATACACTACATATATTATGCAATTAACTGGCTATTCACGCAATATATTTAGACCGGTCACACCTGCAAAGTAATTATCACAATAAAAATGACTATCCAGCTATAAAAAGAACCAACCAGCTATAAAGTTAGTACTTGAAAAGCGCAACAACTCTACAGCTGGTTTCTACCCAGCTTTGGTTTGAACGCGTAGCCAGGCCCTAAGTTTACTAAAAATTCAGACGTTTGAAAAACCCAGACGGTTGCTTGTTGAATGGTAGGAAACTTTACTAATGAGTGTAGAGGAGTTAGACCATCTGTGTTTGAGCATTTTCTTTTTGGTTTGGATATTTTTTTTTTGAAGTCATAAAATAGTCATAAAGTGAACCTTCCCAAATATGAAGTAAAATGGAGCTAGTGGTTGAAGACAGCAGTTCAACTTCTAGTAACCCAGACCTATATATAGCCATTCTATGTGATAAACTGCAATCATCTACCAGCATGCTTGAATGACTCAGCTTTTTGACTCAAAATACAAAATAATGTTCTCATGAGCCCTCAGACATACAGTTCAAGGGCTCATCCTGTAGGCCTCACCTATGTCAAAAAACAACCAAGGGAAATTAAGAAACAACTCTGATTTACTGGTGCAAATCAGAACTTCTTGGGTGGCAGCGAAACTGATAAGGATTATATCCATTTAATTCAGCTCTTATTTCACAATGCAGGAGTGGGTTAGTACAGAGTACCCTCCATCTTTTGGGGAAGGGGAGGAAATGAGAAAAAAAGTAAAAGCAGACATAGAGCTTCTCTCCCCTCCCTACAGCTGGGAAAAGTGGGAAACTTTATTTGTTCAGATACCTGTTAATTAAAAGGGAACAACTCCCCCCACCCCCCACACTCAGGCTTTAGGGAAAGCATCTTGGTAAAAATCTTTATTAGTATAGTTGTGAGGTACGAGGTTTCTTACCACATCATTATCCTTGAACATTACTTGTGCTTACTGTTCCCATATGCATTTAAATGCCTGGCAATTTTTTCTAGTTCTGAATTGACTTTTGCACACACCTTTCTGCTCCAAATATATGCATTTATAGATGCTTAGTCTTTTTCTATAATGACACACATAAGGTAAATCTTTCATGCAAAGAGATGCCTAGAAATAATTACGTAACATCTAGGAACATAGATATCTTAGTCGAGGGTTACCAGGTTAAAACATAACAATTAAAGTTAACTCAATGATCTCATCTCTCCATCCCTTTTGCTTTCCCACAGTTAGAACTCCTTTGTGTCAATTTGTGACTTGCTTGATGACTAAGGTTAGCCCTAATTGGCCATGTCTACACTAGACTAAAGACTGTGGACAAACATTAAAAACAAAACAAACAAAGACCCCTAATTTCAGGCAATGTGGGTTTTCTGCCACTGTAGATAAGGCATAAACAAGTGAACTGTATGATTTTCCCCCCGTTCTTTACATTTCTACTCCTATGGTCTGTATTTTACCATTTCATTTCTACTGCTTTGCCACAAAGTGGAAAAAATATCCTGAGTCCACTCCTGCCATTGAGAAGAAGATCAAGATGCTTCTTTAAAAGCCTGCCAAAGAAAAGAAGGTAGCAATTTAATATCAATTTTAATACCGATGATGTTTAAATGTGTAATATGAGAGTCAATTGCTCTGCTTGTATATTGCAAAGCTGTGAGAAGTTTTATAGAAGGGTATTCACATCTGAAAATACATATAGTATTTTTATAGCTTAGTACCTTGAACACATAAAAAGCATCAGGATCTGTTGACATCTCCATTATCTTTCTGGTGAATGCAGGCCACATAAGCATTCTTAAAGTTGCTTTGAACAATACTCATAAAATATACTTTGATTTTTGTACATATACTGAATTTTTATGATGAGCCTTATGAAAGAGTCGATCATTCCACTGTTTTTGTCTCATCATATACTTTAACACAACTTGAAGAGAAAATTACATACGGATGTCCTTGTTCATTATGAAATCCAATGTTGTTTGCTTCCCATTTCTGCAGCCATTCCTCTTCAGCCACCACTCTGTTCTGCTGTTTCCCAGTATCAGAACTTTCGTTGATTCTCGAGAGGTCTGTTGAACTGGCCATTGTCCAGTGTATATGTATCCACTGTGTAGAGAAGGATGCAGTCAATAGTTTGAGTCATGCACCAACACCTTAATCCTACACCCAGGCAAAACGTTTATTCATGTTTAGGCCGAATTCATTTACATTTGTAGTTTTCCAATACAGGAAGAGTACATACTTGCTATTATTTACTTCAGTTGGAGTTTAGTCTAAGTAAAGTCTATTAAGAATACCTGAAAGAAGTCATAGAACTATTTTATTCATAATATATATTATATATAGTCCAAATTACAGACAGTGTGTTTATTTACACAGATCACTTAATTGTGAGCAGAGATCATGCATGGGATGACACAAAAAAGCCTCTAATCTGTGCCTGGGTAAATGTTTTTTGCTCTCTGTTCTTAAACAAAATTATGATAGCCCCCTTTGTAAAAATGGAATATAAGCAAAAATTGTATACAGTATGGTATTTAAAGTACAAGGAGTCCAGAAAAATGAATAAGGATTTATTTCAAACATGGTTGTAACCTCTGAAGATAAATCCCTGTAGTTCATTTTAGGTTGGATTTTAACAATAAAGGACGGGTTGTTCACTTTCTTGACAGCAGGCTTAACTTTCAGAAATTTGGAAGCCACATTGCTGATAACACTGCTCTTCCCAGGCACGGGGTCAAAAGTCTCCGCCTGCACTTATCTACAATAAGCTGCATGGGGCACTGCAGGAAGTGTCTGTTCATCTCTTCTCAGTTCTCGTTTATTGCTGTCTGCAACTTTATTTTATTAGTGGATTTTTATTTTCAGCTAAGCCCCCCCCGCCAAAATAAAAAGTAAAAACTAAAATAAAAGTCTGAGCTGGGTCATTGTGCAACACACAGAAATTCAAGTCTTACACAATGTCTTACACATTTTAGGCAGCAGGTCCTCTGATGCCAGCAGCAGAGAGCCCTCTTTTAATTTCTTAAACAGCCAATTTCTCCCCAACCCAGGCTCAGAGAGCCCCACTGAAGCCAAAGCAGGAGACCCTTGATTGAAAACTGAGCAGGGGCTTGGGGTTGGCAGGCTCTGTGGCTAATCTGGTGCCTAATCCAGCGCTTCTCAATATTTTGAGACTCACTGCCTCTGGTATAGCCTGACAGACCCTGTGCTCAGACATGCGCCCCCACTCCCACCCGCCACAAAGACTCCTCCTGCTTAGACTCAGGGCCCCCATCATAGACTCCTGCTCTGTCCCTGCACAGACTCTCCCCTCCCCTTAGACTTGACACCTGCCCAGGGCTAGACTCCCCTCTGCTTAGACCTGCAGCTCTGCCCAGGCACAGACTCAGAGCCCCCTGGGGCAGACTCAGCTCTGTTTAGCCTTGCAGCTCTCCCCCGCATACACTCACGCCCCCTCCGCCCCCGAGATAGACTCCCCGCTGCTTAGACTTGCCCCTTCTTCAGTATAGACCCCCCCAGCGCAGACTTGTGCCCCCACCCCCTGACAGACATCCCCTGTTTCAGCTCACAACACCCAGCATAGACTCGCACTGGCAGGGATTTGCCTGCCTGGCCTGGCCTCCCCCAGCACAGACTCGCACCCCCCTCCCTCCTCGCCCCGGCCTAGACTGCCCGCACTTAGACTTACATCTCCCCTGGGCACGGACTCGGGACCCCCGCGGCAAGCCCCGCGGCTTAGACTCGCACTCCTGCCCCAGGCACGGCCTCCCCCCG